GATGATTTCAAGCCTGGCTGACCAACCGGGGGATTTGTATGCAGCATGGAATTTGAGTAGTATTTAGTTTAACAGCGTTCATGAATGAAATTAAATTGATAAATGTGCATTTTTCAAGTTTTTATTTGGTTGTCTGTTTCATTGATTTTTATGGCTTATTTCAGTGTCTTTTGCTGGTTCAAGAAGGAAACTTGCGGTTCTCCCCTCACTGTCCTCGTGGAGCTTCGTCCTCACTTGGAGTTCCTGCCAGCTCACGTGGTTGTCATCAGGGCCCAGGGGTGGGCACATGCCACCATTAGCTACTTGCTCAACATTAAGACTCACAGTGTTTTTTTCTGCAATTGAATTTTATAGGGGTGGAGTACAATAATACGGATGGACATTTTTTCTTTAGTGGCTGCAAATATGACCATGCCAAAACTGGTGTGACCTCAGTTTCAGAAGCACGGTATAGCAGTTAGCTAGCTATAGGTTGAATACGGATGTAACATTAATACTGCTGTGCATTCAAATATTGGACACGATCTGTCCACAATCTACCTGTCATAGGATGTAAGCCTGAGTTCTTAAACATTAGATGCAAAAAGTAATTATACCTAAAAGATGAGTATTAGAATGCTTGTTCTCCATTTTGCACTTTAGTCACCATTCACAGACCGTCAGAGAAGAGAGAAGTGGTCTGTTTTTCTGCAGATAAGGCTATTTTTGAGTTGGGCGGAACATTTCCAGGGAAATGCCACGGTCAATCATTATGCAATCTGATATGCCTACACAGTTCTGAGCAGACAGCAGCTCAGAATTTTTGGAGCATTTATCTGCTATAAAGCTTGGTAAATGCTTTTATTTTTAACTATTTAAACAAAATTTGAAACATTTGAAATCACATTGTCAGGGGATAAGATAAGATCTGTAAGAAACTAACACTGATTTTAAAGCTGTAAAATTATAATCCGCTTTCCAATTTATTTATCTATTTTTTTCTTGAAAGCTTTACACAACTGTACAGATGTCTATACTTGACTGATTACTGTCAATGATTAATACATGCCATGGTTTTGGTACTGTCAATGATTAATACATGCCATGGATTTTTCAGTGTGTTCTTTACTCATTGCAATCTATACCTGAACATTCGTCAGAGTCTTCTGTAGGCAGGAAGCTGTTAAGTGTGGAGTTTCCAGAATTGCAAACACATCTGACAGGTTCATGAGTACATTGAGTATTTGCTCTGCAGGAAGTTGCACTGCAGGAGGAATTACCTGTAGAGAAAATAAATAACTCATCAAAACAAACCAAACACACTCTTAAAAAAATCACTTAATAGAGTCTGTTTCTTGCCCAGGTAAAAAGGGCTGTTTCAGGTGCACAGCTGTGGAGGATAAAGGTATGCCTGAAGGACATGGTGAAGAACTTATGAATTGCTCCACAGAGCACATCCTCCAGAAACTACAGTGGGACTGCTCTTTGCTCTGAAATTTTTCTAAATGTTTTAAGTCTAAGCTGAAAATGTACATGTTTCGTCAAGCCTGAAGTAATTAGATTTTCCTGTTAGGTGCAGATCTGGGGGTAGACCTACAGAATTGAAGTAAACTGAGACATTGTTGCTGTCGTTCTGCTGCTCTCACGTGCTCACTCAGGTTTGTTGATGGTAGAGTGGAGGGGTGCTGTTATTTCTGGAAGCCATCATGACTCTCGTCTGGCTTTTCTTTTCAGCTAAATTGTTGTAACTAGGGCTGCCTGAGTCTCTGCTTGCAGCACTGAGCAAAAGTTTTAGGTACACTCTTAAAACAGATGGTTCTTCAAGAGTTCTTTAATAAAGAAAATAGCTCTCTATAGAACCATGAACACTCAAAGAAGTTGTTGCATGATTAAAGGGTTTTTAAAACAGTCAGACTTCATCACTTTAAACACTGTCCTCTGCTGTACACCCTGTATTGCCAAACATCTGAGCAGTTACATCAAGTTTACTGTATTATCATGTTTTATGCGGTGCCCATCTTCAACTTTCCTGGCTCAAGTTCTTCTGTCAACAAGGATATTTACACAAAACTATATATAAAGAAGGCCTGTAGTATCACCGAGGATCTCTCAAAAGGGCTGCGGCATCAGGAAGGATTTGCTTGGTTTTGCTGCTGCTCTCTAGTGTTTGTATGTGTAAAGTAGTTTATTGATGGACTGACACTACTTTCAAGATGGGATGGGCGAGTTATGTCTGGACAGCCTGGATAGATATTGTCTATAAATTGGACTACATAAGTTTTCCTGGAGTTTTTCTGGATTTGACTTACTTGCACTGGCCTTTAAGTTACCTGCCTAAGATGAGCCCTCACAGCCCTGTTCTACTCTGTGCCTGTTTGGCTATTCATGAGTAAGCTTCCATTTTCTCAAAAATGTTGTTGGTTAGGTTGTTTCAACTACTCCTAGACAAAGGCGCATTCCACTCACTGATGCAATCAGCAAAACATTGCCACTTGTGGTGGCAGAATTTTCTGTTGTGACACCATTGAAAATAATAGGACATCCATTTTGCTGTTGTCCATCTACCGCAAAATATGAACACAGCATAAGTCTCAGCTGTCTCCTCAGCTTCATTGCTATGAGAACAGGCTGGTGCTCATGCTACAATCACTAGGAATCTCTGTGTATCTGGAAATACTGCTCTGGATGAGCATGTTCCATGGATTTGGCCAGCTTTTCACCACTGCCCCCATGTGGTCAAAGCAAAAGTGTTAGACTTAGTAACCTCCACCAACTAGAATATACACAGTCCATATATCATTTGTCTAGCAATGTTTGATAATCAGAACCGACAGCAATTAAAAGCATTAGTTAATGCTAGGTCACTAGTAAATAAGACTTTTATATTGAACAATTTCTTCATCTCCCCTGGCTTAGACTTCCTCTTTGTGACCAAAACTTTTGTGGAGCTCTTGGTGATTCAAGCACTCTTGCTGAAGTCTCTCCTAGTGTTTGTAACTTTTTAATACATACAGGACCACTGGCTGAGTGTCAGGTCTAGCAACCATTTGATAGAAAAATTATAGATATAATTTTAAATCCATTTGATGACTGTGACAGAGCATTCAAGTACAGCTATGTAAAGTGGAATTGTCATGCTCTGTTCTCTGTGTTCTGCTGTCTAGACCTCCTAAAACTCATTAAGGATTTTATTCAGGAAACCTCTGACTTTTTAGCAGTTCGTTTACACTCATTGATAAAGTTTAATTCTTGATCAGTTTAACACCCATTAATATTTTGTAATGTGGGATGGCTCACCAGACAAAGGACGTGAACCCAGGCCGTGTGAACCATATCCCAGAGGCCTACCAGGGGAACCACCACAGGTTTTAAGGAGACCTGACTCAAGTGCCAAGCTAATTTACAACAGGGATTGAACCGTTCACAACTACACCACTGAAGCCGCGGTAATGAATGGGTGGGAAACATATCCGAGTTCTAAACCCATCCGTTTAGGTTCAGGAGGGAAGAGAGAACAAAGGACGCCAGAGGAACAAGTGGCTGGAGCAACTCAAGAACTGAGGGAGAGTGCAAAGATTTTTACAACTTATGAACTCCTTTTATCTGACTCAATCTGTTATCTGCCTTACACATAGGCAAACACCTTTTTTATACCTTGTTTTATTATTTGGGTTCTCAGTATGCAATGTAGAGAGAGCAAATGCATGGTAGTCTGATCACAGACCCATCCTGTTTAAAGTTGTGATTCCATGTCCTCCTCCCAAACATATCATATTGCACATGCTCCGTAACAGCTAGTCAATTCACAGCTACCTATACAACTTCTCCTCTAGTTTGTACCATCGTCAATTATCTTCAAGGCATAAGCACTTTTGAACTGATTGCTTTATTCAATTCAACATCTACTAACATAATGAATTCATTTGCTCCACTTAAATCCTGGAATTCCAAAGTAAAATCTCAGCCCTGGCTCAATAATGATACTTGTATACTTAGACAGGAATATAGGAAAATAGAACAGAAATGGAAGAAAGACAAGCTTCAAATCTCTTACCACATTTTCAGAGAATATATAATTATCAGCACTATATTTTTCGCACATGATCTCCAAAAATTCCCGGTCCCAATGTTCTTTTTAAAACAATTAAAACAATTAATTTGGTATTGCACCTGCCTATTGCATCTACTATTTTATTTATATTGAAGAACAGTTTAATTAATGTTTTTTTTTTCACATTTTAAACACACTTGTCTAGGCCACAGTTAGGTTTTACAGCACACTTTGTTTGGAATGTCTAAAGTGTGGTGTAAGCATCCATGGTTTGCCTCTTATCTGGAGGTTAGAACTTTTTTCATCAAGATGCATACCTTTTCTCCTTCTCGGCACCTTTTATTTATGGGGAACCTCAGGGCTCTATCTTGGGCCCTATTTTGTTCTCTTAAATAAATGATCCCCCTTGGGTCCATCTTTCAGAAGTATGAAATTGACCATCAGTGTTATGCACATGGCACACAGTTATACCTCCCGCTTAAGCCAGGCAAAAATGACTATATGTTGATGGATGTCAAAGAGCTTTCTTAAACTAAACCAAGACAAAATAGACATTATTATTATTATTTTTGGAAATCCAGATTCACCCACATAGCACGGCTCTGAGCTATAACACTGACCTCCTCTGCCTCCATTCCACCTATTGAGCCTTATGATCTTCCAAGCAGTTGTTCCTAGCCATTCCACACTCTCGCTTGAGGTTTAAAGGCAGCCAGGCCTTTTGCACTGCTACCCCAAGACTCCCCGATATTTAATAAAGGCATCCCCCACGGTAGATCCATTATTATATATTTACTATATATTTAGTCATCTGTTTTGTCTTGGTATGACCTGTCCTGCTGTAAGTAGCTCTTGTAGTTTGTCTTTTATTGCTCGTATTTTATTTGTTTTTATCTGCATTATATTTTCCTTGTTAAGTTAATTCACAATAATTCACAATACTTTAATATTGTAACAAAAAATGATGGCTTTAGACTGACTCACTTGTTGTGTAAGTTCCTTTGCTTGGAACTAGGTAGTTGAGCACTAGTCCTCCACCACAGTCTAGATTCCGTGCACTGCTAACAACTGTGGCACATGTATACACATAATAGCCATCAGATCCTGGGGGGCTTCCACTGAAATTCCTCAAGGTTTCATTGCTGGTATCACTGAACATATTACTAAAGCAGTAATAGGCCACATGGACTCCACTGTTATTAGTGAAGTGATACCATCCTTCATGCAAGTTAATGTCATAAAAAGTAAAAAAGGTTGAGTTAAAAGCAGAATTCCACCTTGTGCCATATAGAGTCTTAGGAACCAGGCAAACATCTGAGAACAAGAGGATTGAAAATGAGTAGTTTATTTCAGAATTGTTATATGCATAACACATACACATAGATTCAGAATTACAAAAAAATATGTTATTTCAGAGATTTGATGAACACTACCATAGTCAAGGCATTCTCCCCACTGTCCATCTTTGGTGTAGTTATCAGTCGTACTGCACCATGGGTTAGGGTGGTCAAAAGTAACACAGTCACTGTAATTAGTTCCATTGTGAAAGAATGGAAAAACACATGGAGCTCCTTTAGAATTTCCATCAACTGTGACATTGTCTGAGCAGAAAAAAATAAAATAAAATAAATAAACAGGTTACAGGTTACATGTTGAAAGCACACTGATCCTGCGCAAGTTTTTCATGCTTCACATTTATGTTGGTCAATGAACAAGAAGTAATAAATGTTTCATGCAACTTAAATGCAAGTAAATGCAAAATCTCATTTAACACAATTAAAAATCAAATTATCTATATCTTTTAACCATATGAATGTTATGTTTTATTATGTTTTACCATATTGGGAATTTGCTTAGAAACACAATTATGGGGACGTTGTCTGAAAATGTATGTTTTATATATTGGTTTAAAACATTTACTACTATAAGTCAAACTAGCATGTTGTTTAAAAAACTGCATACTCAGTTAATGGTCTATAAAATACCTGCAGTAAACAGTTAGACTATGACGGGGGGTTGTGCAGTGTCATCATGGACTCCCCGTGGAAACCCACAAATATAGTAACAGTTAGCGGTGTGAGTCTGGTCCCCAAAGTGCTGCCTCCTGAGCCCCACCTCCTGTTCCACAGCGAGGCCACTGCACTGCACCTGATGTTCGACCCTGGCAGCTGTCAGTGACGATGATGAGGAGGAGCAACAAAAACAGCTGTCTCTTTCTCTCTGAGATCAGGTGTGCTGCCCTTAGAGCCCCTGTCTGCTCATTTTCATGATTTTCTTATAACAATTATCTATAGGGTTTGTGATGTTTTTACAGTTAACTGAGAGAGAAAGAATAATGTTGGTCTTTCTGAGATTTTTAAAATCAATATTTCTGCCATTTTCTTCAGTTCATTTTGAGTTGGATGGGAGTAAATTTGGCACAGGTGACATTAGATCTCCCAAATATATATATATATATATATATATATATATATATATATATATATATATATATATATAATGTCAGCTACTCACACTCCTCTCCCTTTCATAGAGTTACTGATCTGCTGCTGCTCTGAATCTCAACCAAAACTCCCAGTAAGTAGGTTATTTAAGCTTTTTTAAATTTCTTTACCCGCTAGGGCCTACAAATGTGCCAGTGCACCAATTTAGATGTTTCTTGGTGTTTCTATTCTATTATCTTTGTGATAAGGCAGCGCAGAAATACAGTTCAAACAGTTCCTGAATCTGCAGAGTCGCCTTTTTCATTCAATTGTATCACAAAATCGTACATGACTCATATCCAGAGTTATGCGCCAATGAAGACATGTTGAGACACACACCATCTGCCTCTCACTGTGTGTAACAAGTCTGTCAACAAGTGTGTCTGTCATCCATCTCTCGCCCATATTGATGGATTCGTGTGTCACACGCGTTGATGGACACACAGGAAATCATTAAGGCCTTACCCATCACATCGAAAACAAGTGTTGTGTAAAAATCTTGCAGCTGCTGAATAAAATTTAGAAAATTTAGAAAAGCTTAAATAACATACTGACTGGGATTTTTGGCATAGAGCTGGCATACAGTGAAGAGGCTTATGGGAGGCATGTGCCCCAATGAAAAGAGGTACTGTTTGATATTGGTTGTGTTGTTGTTAGTTAAAAGGTATGTGTATGTGTTCTAGGTGTTATTCTGTGTTAGGGAGTGGGTTTAGTTGGGATTGTTGTGTGTGTGTGTCACTGGTAACATGAAGCATATGTGGCAAGTGATGACCTCCCCCCATTAGTTCAGTGTCGGGTATGTACCTATTTCTGCCTGTTGTTCATTAAAGAACTGTTCTCAGATCAGAATCATGGCTTCAGTTGATTCTTCTTTTGATTGCCATTACAATAATATATTGAAGCAATCTTAATTATGCCTTGTTGATCTTGGCATTGTGAGTACAGGCTTATGCTCTTTTATTTTGAATAGGCACTTCAACTGGCAGCAAGAAATATTAAGTAGAGCACTATCTAAGTATGAAAAACAGGAAGGGGGTAATGCGAGAGGATACAACATATGAATTCTTTGGCTACACTGGATTGTTCTCAAGCATAAATTGCCCGTTTAAGGTCTTGCCACAGCATCTCAGAGGTGGACTTGTTTGTATGTTTCGGATCATTGTCCTGCTGCATAACCCAACTGTGCTTGAACTTTAGGTCACAAACTGATGGGCAGATATTCTCCTTCAGGATTTTCTGATAGAGAGCAGAATTCATGGTTCCATCAGTTATGACATGTTATCCAGGCCCTGCAGAAGCAAAGCAGCCCCAGACCATCACACTACCACCACCATGTTTGACTGCTGGTATGATGTTCTTATGGTGGAATGCAGTGTTAGCTTTACACCAGATGTAATGGGACCCATGTCTTCCAAAAAGTTCCGCCTTTGACTCATTAGTCTACAAAATGTTGTCCCAAAATTTTTGAGGGTCCTCATGATGTTTTGGCAAATGTGAGACAAGTCTTTGTGTTGTTTTTGGTAAGCAGTGGTTTGTTCCTTACAACTCTCCTATGGATGCCATTTTTGCCCAGTGTCATTCTTATTGTGGAATCATATATGTAACGTTATATGGCTCACCAGACCACCACATGTTTTAGGGACAGAGGACCCAAGTGCCAAGCTTCTGTACTTCAGCACCTGATGAGTCTGGGGATCGAACCCGGGCCCTATTGGTGCTGCGCGAGCGCTCTACTGCTCCACCACCCGTTTTTGTCAGGTGGGAAAAAGAACAAAGGACGCCAGGGGAACTGGCTTTCCCAGAAGTTGAGGGAAAATGAAGTAACTGAAAAAGGACAAATGACTTTCCCAACAGAAACAGAAAAATGACTTTTGTGTTTTTTTTTTTGTTTTGTTTTTTTTTTTTGAGATCAGATGATTAGATGTTTGTCTGGGTTTTTGAGACCTCCTGAATGAGTTGATGATGTGCTTTTGATGAAATTTTGGTAGGCTGGCCACTTCTGGAAAGGTTCACCACTCTTCCAAGTTTTCTTCATTTGTGAATAATAGCTCTCACTGTGGTTTGCTGGAGTCCCAGAGTCTTAGCAATGGCTTTGTAACTCTTTCCAGATGGTGGATTTCAAAGACTTTGTTTCTCATCTATATTTTAATCTTTTTAGAACGTGGCATTTTGTGCTGCTTCTTGAGACCTTCTAGCCTGCTTCACATTACCAGACAGGTTCTATTTAAGTGATGTTTAGATTCAACAGGTCTTGCAGTAATCATGCCTGGGTGTGTCTAGTGAAATTGAACCCAATAGTCAATTGAACTTTGTTAACTGGTTGATTTAGTAGCTAGAGGGCAATTACTTTTTCACATACTGCCAGGAAGGGCTCAACTACATTTTTCCTGCAGTAAATGAGATCAGCATTCATGAAACAGCATTTTGTGTTTACTTGATTTATCTTTGTCTAATATCAAAAGTAGTTTAATGACCAAGTGTGACAAACATGCAAAAATAGAAGAATTCGGGAAGGGTCAAATACTTTTTTCACACCACTATATATACTCTGCGCCTTGTGGTAGATATTACTAAGTTTATTTAATTAAAACTTTATTTGACATTTTTTTTTTTTAGATTTCAATAAATACATATTATTCCCTAGTTCTTACTGTCCCAGTTGTTGTCACATTAATTAACATATTAAAAAACTGCTTAATAATAACTTCATGAATATTGAGATTTAACCATTACATAACTACTACTTATCCATTTATTAATGATTGTAAACTAGCTAATAAAATCTAAAATCTTCTTTTTTTATCATAACTTAATGATTGATTGTAACATTACTTAGTAATGCTTATTATTCTCTTAAATACCATTAAAAGACTAATAGGTTAATTACCATCAAGACAAAGTTTTACCCAGTGCCATTTTAGAGGAGATATTAAAAAAATGAGCATCACATAATGCGACTATGTTGGGGTGACTAGAGTTTATCTTTGGAAGGCATACTTTTCTCAGCTGTTTTAGGGATAAACATTTAATTCCTTTTCAGAGACTGGATAAGCTAAACAAAATAAACTAATTTTATAACTTCTATCAACTGACTTTCTTAAATTTTAAACACTGTACCACATTTAATTCAGTGTAACATGCCTTAGGGCTTTACTTACGGTAAAATGGAGCTTTACCCTCTTTGAGGAGGACGCTGGAGTTTGCAGTTGTAGGTAGGACAGTATTTAGTACGAGAACAGTGACCCCTGCTGGAGAGATACAAACAGCTATATTCAATGGCAATACAAGTGTGATAATTTTCCCTAACTAAACTGCAGTCCAAAAACAACTGCTGTGCGGCTATTGCTTGAAGAGGTTTTAAATCAACATTTTTTTTTTCTTGCCTGCAAGTGGAACCTGTGTTATATACACACTCTTTTCTAGTTCTGACACTTTCACTGGTGTAAAGCAATACAATCATAATCCAACATTATTTGTAATTTATAAAAAAAAAAAAAAGAAAACTGAGAATAAAAAAGCAAAACAGAAAAATGTAGGAAATTTTTAGGAAAATTTAGGAAATAATTTAGGAAAACACTGAACTCTTCTTTGTGAGGTAGATTGTATCCACAGAGTGGAGTGGATGAAGTGAGCTGTTTTACAGAAAGAAGGAAAACTTTTGGAAAACAACCCAGTGAAATTCAGCATCTGGTTCTCATTGTCCAGCTCTACATCACTTTAAAAGAAAAATAAGATCCACAATGGGCAATGGTTAAGTTCTAATTGGGTAATCGTGGGGTACATTTCCAAAGTACTAGATAATGATTTTGGGGCATGATATTGAGTTCCAAGACAGTTTAACTAAATTTCACTGAAATGCCAAACAGGTTCTAACTATGAACTAAGTAGGTGTGTAGAACTCCAAAGTGCTGTGTAATCATTTTGGGTAAAATCATTACAGTCTAACTAAACTGCACTAAACCCCGAAGGTTCTTGTTATTAAGCTGAAGAAGTGATATAACATAAAATATCTAATAATTAAGATAATTATTTGAGTAACCCTGCTTGAAAAAATAGCATGCTAGTCAAAAACATTCCATGTTGGTCAAAGCTATTCTATGCTGGTTTATGTTGGTCTTATGCTGGTTTAGCTGGTCACCCAGCTTGGCCATACTTGCTGCCCAGCATAGCAGTAATAAAAACACAACATATGCTGGTTTTGCTGGTGACTAGCATTACTGGTCTAGGCTAGTTTTCTAGCAGGAAAACTACCCTTTCTCAAATTGCATTGGGATTACATCACTTAATACTTCCTGAAATACTCTAAATTACTTCTAAATTACTTTCTAAAATGCACACAAATCTGTACTGACTGGAAAGTAAAGGGAAATTAATTTCAGTGCTTCATAAGAAAAAAACAAAAAAAAAAAACAAAAAAACCTTGGCATCCCTGGCTATATAAAAAGGTGGTTTAAAGACAATTAAAGACTGTACATGCATACCCATCCACTAGCTAGAAACAAAACTGAATCTGTGTTGTATGAGAAAGCAATGATTCTTTCAATTTTACTAAGTCCTTAACATTTACTTAGACATTTAATGTTTTATTTTCCTTTTTCAATGTGTGACATTACAGTGAAATGTATTGTGTGTTTGTTTGTTTGTTTGTTTGTTTGTTTGTTCTCACCACCTTTTTAGGCACTTCAGTGTAATTAAGTTACACTGTCTTCTTATTTACTTTCATTTTGCCCAAAATAACTGTGCAGCACTTTGGAGTTTGTACCTTACATTTACCAAGTTAATATCTAGAACCTGTTTGACATTTCAAAGAACGCATTACACTGCAATGGAAGAACTACAGCTTCCTTGGCTACTTCATGTTGTCTGCAGAGATGAATAGAGTGGCCTACCCCATTAGGATACTTTTGGTCTAAAGTAAAATAATAAAGCTTGAAAGTGAGAGGGGTGAGCAAAAGCAAAGCAGCAGAGAAGCAGAATAAATACAAGAATGAAATGAAACCCAAAAAAATCTAATTAGCAATTAGAATAACTGAATTGGATTGGACAAAATTATTTTCTTATTATTTATATTATTGCTATTATTATTATTTACCACTATGGGCCTATAGTGGGCATAAGGCCTGGGAGATAGGGTGATGTAACTGGATATTGGCAATGACTAGCACGTGACCTGATGCAGATCTTTGACATGTGATAGTCAGTGTACAGCTTGTATAGCAGTACAGATTTACTGTCCTCTGAAAATAACACACAGCCATTAATGTCTAAATAGCTGGCAACACAAATGAGCACACCTCACAGCGAACATGTCCAAATTGTGCCCAATTGTGTCGTTGTCCCTCCCTGGTGTCATGTGACACATTAGAGTTACAAGGTTCCAGGTGTGAATGGGGACCAGGGCTGTTAAATTTGGTGTTCTTGGTACAATTCGCTCATACTGGCCAATGGATATTCAACATGACACCTCATGGCAAAGAGCTCTCTGAGGATGTGAGAAATAGAATTGTTGGTCTCCACAAAGATGGCCTAGGCTATAAGAAGAAGAAGAGGCAGGTCAGCCTGTCAGTGCTCAGACCGTTTGCCGCACAATGCATCAACTCGGTCTGCATGGCTGTCATCCCAGAAGGAAGCCACTTCTGAAGCTGAGGCACAAGAAAACCCGCAAACAGTTTGCTGAAGACAAGCAGTCCAAGAACATGGATTACTGGAATCATGTCCTGTGGTCTGACGAGACCAAAATAAACTTGTTTGGCTGAGGTGGTGTCCAGCATGTGTGGTAGTGCCCTGGTGAGGAGTACCAAGACAACTGTCTCTTGCCTACAGTCAAGCATGGTGGTGGTAGCATCATGGTCTGGAGCTGCATGAGTGCTGCTGGGAGCTGCGGTTCATTGAGGGAAACGTTAATTCCAACATGTACTGTGACATTCTGAAGCAGAGCATGATCCCCTCCCTTTGGAAACTGTGCCACATGGCAGTTTTCCAACACAATAACGACCCTAAACACATCTCCAAGATAACAACTGCCTTGCTGAAGGTAAAGGTGATGGACTGGCCAAGTATGTCTCCAGGCCTAAACCCAATTGAGCACCTGTGGGGCATCCTCAAGCGGAAGGAGGAGGACTGCAAGGTGTCTAACATCCACCAGCTCTGTGATGTCATCATGGAGGTGTGGAAGAGGATTCCAGTAGCAACCTGTGCAGCTCATGTGAATTCCAAGAGGGTTAAGGCAGTGCTACATAATAATGGTGCTCACAGAAAATATTGACATGTTCACTGTGAGGTGTACTCTCTTGGGTTGCCAGCTATTTAGACATTAATGGATGTGTGTTCAGTTATTTTCAGAGGACAGTAAATCTATTCTGCTATACAAGCTGTACACTGACTACTTTAAGTTATAACCAAATTTCATTTCCATAGTGTTGTCCCATGAAAAGATAATAAATATTTGCAGAAATGTGAGGGGTGTACTCACTTTTGTGAGATACCGTATATAGTATAGATTTGCTTAAAGTTAAAGTAAGATCAGAGTGAGTCTGTCTAGGTGTGGCTGTGGTATGGATTGTCTGTGGAGATCTTGATAATGAAGATGATTCAGAGATGTAGTGACTGGCCCATAGACTGAACTTTTGTACCTCGGCAGCTGTGAGAAAAAGAGTGGCGTGGGTGGGTGGAGTCCTTTAAAATCCTCCTGGTCTTCCTCAGGCAGCAGGTTGTGTATAAATCCAGAAGGTTGAGAACTGGACCCAGGTGATGTGCTGGGCTGTCCACATCACCCTCTGCAGAGCTTTCTGTTCGATGGTAGTGCAGTTTCCATACCAGGTGGTGATGGAACCTGTAAGAATGCTATCCATAGTACATGTGTAAAATGTACTGAGGATTGGGGGCTCATGCCAAACCTCCCTAGCCGCCTGATGTAGAAGAGGCACTGTTGTTCCTTCTTTATCATCAGTGTGGTGTGTTTGGTCCATGTCAGTTCGTCTGTGATGTGAACACTGAGAAACGAAGCTGCCGACCCTCTCTACAGTGGCTCCATTAATGGTGATGGGAATGTGCACTTTCTCTTGCTTACTGAAGTCCACAATGAGAGAGGATGTTCTCCTGGCACCAGTGTGTCAGGAAGCTGACCTCCTCTCTGTAGGCCTCTTTGTTGTCATTGGAGATCAGGCTCACACTTGTGGTATCATTTGCAGATTTGATGATGACATTGGAGCTGTGTCTGACTGAACAGTCACGGGTGTACTAAGAGTACAAGAGAGGGCTGAGCACACAGCCCTGAGGATCTCTGATGTTAAGGGTCAGGGTCAAAAACAACAGTGATATCATCAACCACCTCCATAGGGCAGGGTTGAGGTTATCACAATCAGCTGTTTGAAAAGGACTTTGAGAGCAGAAATTTAGAGGCCATACCACACTGTAAAAATGACCCCACTCATACTCTTGGGTGACTTCAACCTTCCCTCAGACAAGCTGCAGTCATCCTGCCTCTTACCACTGCTATCTTCCTTTGACCTCATCCTCAACCATCCTCCTCCAATGCACAGAGCAGGCAACATTCTGGACCTGATATTCAACAGACCTACCTCTGTGCTGGATGTCACAGTAACCCCCCTTCACTGCTCTGATCACCGTTTTCCCACTGTCCCTCCCTGCTACTCCTGTCTTTACCACTCATTCACACTCTCTTACTCGGCACAACCTGCACTGCCTTCCTCCCTTGTCTCTCACTTCAACTATCCTGACTGCCCTTCCCCATTCTGACTCATTTTCTTCCTTTCCTCACTCTCATCTGCAATTAACCTTCTGTGTCCAGGCCAGCAATATGAGGCCAGCCCCCTTCCATTTTCACATATAGTTTCTTTTTAGCATTTTCACAAAACTTATTGCATCTAAACTGGTTTTAATGATTGATCCACTTCAGTATGCATTTCACCTCCTGAAGACAAGACTAAAGGGGGGATCCCTAAAACAAACAACTTAAACTTATTTAGTTGAACTAGATGTAAATATCAGAAAATAAAGGCAGAAATTCTGATCTCTGTTTTCATATGCATCTTTTAATTTCAAATGCCTTCAGTGTGCAGCAAAAACAAAACACAACAAAACAAACAAAAAAAAAAAACCTAGCCTGGAGCAACAAAAATGTCAGAGGGGGCTAGATGTTATGTTTTTTAAATTTCATTTTACATAGATTTACATACAATTAGAATTTATGTATATTTGAAGTAGAATTACAATGTCAAAAATTAATACATGAAAATAAATTACTTAGCATCACTCCCTCCTGAACCACCAATACACTCTCACACATCCATCTTACAGTACTAAATCTAGGATTTAATGAGAGAAAAGTTTACATTTTTCTTTAGTTCTGTGCTTTAATGTATTGTGGTTGATTAGCTAGGGTGACCATAATTTGGTTTTCAAAAAATGAGGACACTCAGGGCAGAAGAGTGGCAAGGGGCAGACTGTAGAAAGAAGCCGTAGAAGACTGAGCGGACTGAAAGGAGCAGATCTTATGGACATTAGTGATGGAGAGGAAAGTGAGGGAGAATTGTTTAATTGTTCAGTTAAAATTATTATGAAAAAAAAAAAACACTCTTTCTGATGACATCAACTGAGACTGAATGGATCCATAATCTCAGTATTTGAATAATATATTTAGGACCTTGCAGCTAATCTAGACAGAATTTGCTTGATCGGGGCCTGCATGGAGTCAGTTTTAACAGTTATAAAGATGATGGACAGCTACACATATCTGTAGTACCAGATGTCACTACTTTAGATAAGCTGTTAACCTTGTTTATAGCATTTTTAAACACAAGCTAAAGTCAGAAGTGCCAAAAACCTGCCTGTGACCTTCAATGCAGACAACACTGCATCAAAAACCAGCATGCTTCTGTTATGGATATCACAGCATGAGCTTTGAAAAACCATTATCAATAAACATCGTTTGTCGCTGCATCCGCACAAGTATAAATTCATCAGAATTTTAATTCAGTAACTGAGTAAATGTAACTAGTTACTACCCACCCCTCATTTTCTAATGAGTCGATAATAACAGCAGGACTAAAACATAACAACTAAAACAAGGAAAAATAACCAAAAACTAGAAATTAAAACAACTGCCAACAAAAGCCTGTTACATATACCATAATATACTATTCCCACAAATAAGGACAATTTTATAAAAACATTTTATACAAAATATATAAAAGTCCCCTTGTAAACCCACTTTTGCTTAAAATGACAGAATACATTACTCACTTGTAAAAAAGATGTTGATATTCACATTCATTTTTCTAAATCCGTCTGCTGATTCTCATCCACAGTGAACAGATAAGAGTTATGTGAGAAATGAATCTGAAGATATGTGGCTGGGATTTTAATGTCTGGAATTCTCCGTAATTTGCATTTTGTAGGTGTGACTCTACAGGCTGTGGAACTGTTTTTCCATGAACAATGCACTCTAACATTCTTCAGTGAATGCTACAAGCAGGATACAAACATGAATATGCAAATTCATCTGGGGCTGTTATGCATCCACACATGCGTGTCTTCTTCACTGGAATGCATGTTTGTATATGTTTTGGAAAACCGCAGTGTGTGGTTGATTCCTTTGTATTTCAGTCAAATGATCCTTTCCTATGGTGGGTCTTGAAGTTTTGGGGATCTGATACTTTTTTATACATTTCCAACCAGTGGAAAACATGCTCCTGTCCCAACTTTTTCAGAATGTGTTGCAGACATTAAATTTGAGTGTATACTTATGAAAACAATAAGGTTCATTAGATAAAACATTTAATATAATGTTTGTGTACTGTTTTGAATTCAATAAAGGCTGAATAGAAATTGCTAATTACTGCTTTCTGGTTTTATTGCCATTTCACACGCTGTCCTGACATTCTACGATTTTTGCTGATCAGTAATTTTACTATAATGTTACTGTACATTCATGAACACTACTTCATGTATACGTAGGTATTTTAATTAATATATGTGTGTATATATATATATATATATTATATATATATATATATATGAATGCTAAATTACACTTTGAACTATTATGAATGTAATGTAGATCTCTTGAGTAGGCTTTCCATACCCATAGTATCATAGGCTGTTTATTCCCTGAACAGATTTTAATTTACTTATGAACATGAACATGTGAACTGTACTGTTAACAAATACATTATGTAATTTGTGTAAAGTGCTACCCTCTGTTCTTCTCTTTTTGGATATTTTGGTCTAAAATTAAATGCTCAAGCTCCAAAGTGAGAGGTCTGAGCAACAGTAAAGCAGAACAGGAGCTGAACCAACACAATTAAATTAAACCCCCAAAAATTGATAGACTAAAGTAGAACTAAATACTCTAATTTTATCACCAATATACGTTAGTAGAAGTAAAAGTATTATCATTCGAAAATACTCCGAGAAATACAAATTTTACTTCAGTAACCAACTAAATATAATTACTTACTACCCACCCTCAGTTTCCTAATGTTATTTGAGATAATTATAGCAAAACTGAAACATCAGAAAATAATTTAAAAAATAACCTTTTTAAATGAACTGTGTAGCATTTTTGCATAGAAAACTGTTTATATGGATATGATAACTGTATAAGATAAATGCGTGAAAGTGAATGCTACAAACAGGACAAAGGCTGCTGCATGTATGCATACTTGTGTGTTCTTCACTGGAACTATATTTGAATATGTTTCTGAATATAATATTCTGTGGTTGTTTCCTTTGTATTTCAGTCAAATGACCCTACCTATGCTGGTTCTTGGAGTGTTGGGGATCTGATACAATTTTTTATATTTCCAACCACGTTTCATGTTCTACAATGTCTTTTTTTAAATATATACTTTTATTGAGCCTTTTGTTCCAGAAATATATAGACAGAGCTATATATCAGTCAAAAAGAGGGCAGAAATTGTTTTTAAAAAAGAAAGAGCAATCCAGAAAACTCATAGATAGATATATGTCCTGTCATCAACTCAGAATACAACAATGTCCCGGCACAGTGATGAGATGTTGTACACTTTGATTGTTGTTGGTAAAAATGGTCTACTGTACCATTCGTTACTATAGAGTGAATGAGTCTGTTGCTGAAGGCGTTTCGCTGGCTGACCAGTGTGGTCATGGTCATGGAGGGGGTGTGATGTTGTCCAGTACAGCAGTGAGTTTATTAAGTGACCTTCTTTCCAGCAGCACAAGACTAAGCCAGCCTTCTTGATCAGTTTGTTGAGCTTTTTTGCATCTCCCCTTCTAATGCTGCCTCCCCAGCAGAAGACAGCACCTCCAACAACAGATTGGTAGATCGACAACATCTTGCTATACATATTAAAGGACCTGAGCCTTCTCAGAAAGAGGTCTGCTCACCCCTTCCTGTGTACAGCCTCTCTGTTGGCCCTCCAGTTCAGTATGTTGTCAAGCAGGACACCCAGACATTTGTAGGTGTCTACCAACTTGACGTTCTGACTCATAATGGAAACAGGACTGATTGCAGTCCTCTTCCTCCTGAAGTTCACCACCATCTCCTTGGTTTTGGTCACATTGAGGAGCAGATGATTCCTTGCATACCACTCAACAAAACTTTTCACAAGGTTTCTGTATTCTCTTTTCTGCCCACCCCTAATGTAATCATGGAATCATAGGTAGATCTGATGCTGCTATGTTCAATAAGAACACTTAGTTCACTTTTTTACATTTATTTTATAGCCTGAGAACTTACTGAATGCATTGATAATGTGCAGGACCTGGGGGATAGAATCAGCAGGGTCAGACAGGCAAAAGTACAGCATCATCATAACATAGGAATATTTAGTGCTCAAGCCCACCTTTTATAAAAATATAAATAATAGTCTTTAAAACATTCATTAATTTCAGTGGGGTCAGAGATAGTTCCACAACTAGGTGATCTGATTCTGACTGGACAGTTGCTTTAGTTGGAAGGCAAGAAGTTTGCTGGGCTTGACTCCATATTAAAAAAAAATTACTTTATTATTATTATTAATTTTAGTAATGCATTTTCAGCCTGATATGATGAAGTAGACTGAAGAGAGTCTCTTTTTATAAGTTTCAGGGTTAGGGGAGGAAGCATAGATTGTGTCAAATTGTTTAATTGTACTTGATATTATGTCTAGCTTACTATGGCATGGTCTAATAATAAAAGAGGATCAAGAAATTATCTCACATTAAGCAAAGGCTTTCAGGGATACACAAATAACAGAGGATTGACATTGATTCTAAGAAATCCTTTATTTTCAAATTAGAGGCAGAATACTTTTTGCTTGAAAATGTACTTGCATTAGAGCAAAGTCTACACAACAGGTCTATGGGCAACCACAGGCTCGCAACTCTCACGTTATGTAATAAACAAACTAGTCAGAGGTTTGGCAGTGCAAAATAGCAAAGTCCAAAATGTAGCTTTCAGCAAGTGAGATTAAGCATTGTGTCTGCATGTCATCTTTATGTTTGTGCTGGACTCCAGCTAAAACAGAGCTAGACAAAACAAACTTCAACTTCTGATAACTGTCTACCATTACCTCTCTAGAAAGCCTTCCACATCCCAGCAGGATGGAGGTTGGCTTTAAAGGATTTGAACTGACAATGGCATTTTTTTCAATTCTAGGTGACATCTGGAAGGAATTACATCCCAGAGTTCATATGTCACAGCTCTCAAAGATCCCAATTAACCCAAAGAATTTCTGCCTTCATTTGGAAGTGGACAAAGCACACAAGCATTGGCTTTGGAGGTGCACACGGATGCGGTTTGTTAGTCTTCTCTGTATGTGCTCAGTCTCTGGTGTCTGCAACAGTTTGTACTTAAATAACTTGATGAAGAAAGATATGATAAAGCCTATATCCTGAGGTATGCCACTTATGCAAATAATGTTTCTTCATGAACGTTTTCAAAAGTTTCCATTTTGATTCTCTTATCATCTGCCTCTAATGATTTGCACCTGCATTTGGTTTCATCGAGTCACTTATCCATTGCATTCATTGCATACTCCATTACTTGATTTTTGGTACTGTGAGAGAGATTTTGGTCTGATTTTGGTCTGCAGAATGGAGGAGAACAAGCAGATTTCAGCAAGGAACTTAAATCTGAACGAGGAAATTTCCTTGCAGTTTGTTGCGTTAAGCATTTCCTTCAAAAGTACCATAGTTAGCCCCGCACTAGTTGGGGCAATGCTAGCATCTTTATCCACCTTGCCTTAATCAGGAGCGTTGCGCTTTGAGGATAATGATTTAGAAGTGGCTGGCTTAGGTGCAATAGAAATCTATCTGCCTATTCTAAAAAGATAAGTAATTTATTTTTAGACAAAAATAAACAACATATTGTGGAGCTACTCCCATGAACACATCTCACCCCTCTAGCTCCATATCAGAAACACAGTTCTACAATGTCTTGACATCAGGCAAGCCTATTGCTGACAGCCGTGCAGTCATCATCCTACATCATCTTAAATGCAATACAATAACAGGACTGATAATGTACGCTTCACATATACCCAACACTGCAACACCCTTCCCTCTAAAGCATGCAGTTGCTCAAGACAGGCATTTTAAACATTAAACCCCAGTGAAGCCCACATAACTAACTAAAATCATACTGCTGAGATGTAAGTTATGCAACATGGAAAAATGCCACCAATCTAAAAACCTGAACCTTCAAGGATAATAGGCTAAAGCATCCTGAACATGAAAAATGTTTATGGACAACTTATATCTCACCTTTTATGATACGACGCATGAAAGAAGACATTAGCATTGACCTATCCTATTTAAAACACATGTTTTATGTAATCCACTGACACTTATTTTGATGCGAACCCAATGATTTTCTTTTTTTTTAACACAAACTAAATTTCAACTGTTTGTTTTTGACTTTGGAACAAGGTAGACAATCTCAGTTCTGTCAGGGTATCAGTTCTCAGTTTCACAGGTCTCCCAGGCACATCTTTTGATCATTTGAGCTTCAAATTCAAGATATATATGTGGGAACAAGATTGAAAACTAATGCAGTAGAGCTGAGAGTGTTGGGGTGAGCACAGTAAAGCAGTAGAGCTGATGCAGTGGAGCTGAAAGTGCTGGAGTGAGTACAGTACAGTAATGGAGCTAGTGCTGTAAAGCTGAGAGTGTTGAGGCGAGTACATTACAACAGTATGGCTGATGCAGTAGAGCTGAGAGTGCTGAGTGAGTGCAGTAGAACAGTGCAGATGATGTGGTAAAGCTGAGAGTGCTGGGGTGAGTACAGTATACAGAAGTTAATATTTCATTTGTGACCCTTATTTTAAACTCTTTACGTACAAAAGTACTGAAGTGCA